TATGACACAACTCCTAACAATGGCCAAGTGTATCCAATCAAACAAACATAGCTAGGGTTCCTCAAAACCTAAGTGAAGGGAAGTTACTCCATAGAGAAGAGAGAGACTGCAATAGGAATCTTCAGATGATCAGTCTTCAAGTCTGGGCTTGTTCCTCGAGCTTCCAAGGCGAAGAAATCCTTCAATTCCACTCCAAGAATGCCATCAAATCGTCCTCTCTCTCTCTCTCTCTCTCTCTCTCTCTCTCTCTTTGGTTCGTCCCTTGGGTGTTTGGGATCCAAAACCCAGCTCTCCCTCCAAAAACGTACAAAACAGGCTTTTAACAGCCTGCGTTCGCGACCCGGTCGTAATCCCCGGTCGGGTATTTCAGGTACCCGGCCGGGGATTTTGAAACGCAGCGGTGCAGGGTTAATACCCGATCGGGTATTTTTGCTCTCTGGTCGGGACCCCTTCTGCCTTCTTGGCGTCCAAAAGCACAAATCCCAGCCTCCTTAGCATTTTACCCGGCTGGGTATTTTAACTCCTTGCCGGGTATTTTGCTCTTCCAGCGCCCTTCTACTCAAACGTCCTCCTTTTGACCCGAAACTCATTTCCTCGCCTTCACGTCAACGCCAAGTCCTGAAATATGACATAAACACACAACCTAGCATGAAATAGGCTTAAAACACGAGAATTGACTCTCAAACAGCTCAAGAATGGAGGTATAAACATGTATAATTATTGGTATATCATTAGTACGAGGCCTTTTGGGGAGGATACCCAGAAGTAAAACCTTGCGGGATTGGCCCAAAGCAGACAAGTGGTATCAGAGCCTGATTGCGCAGATCCGGGGCTGTGGACGTCAGTTTGGTTGGTGATTCGGGCTTAATTGTACACTTTTTACTCTCCGGCTTCCTTAGTCGTTTGAGGCATTTTTACTCTGGGAGGTTTGGTTTTACGCTGGCTTTGTCTCGTTTTTGTGCATTTCAGTCTATAGTAGGTGGAACCAACCCTGGAGTCGAAAGTTGGACAAAAAGGCGAAAAATCGGGTAAAAGGCTGGAGGCAGTAGCAGATCACGGTGGAAGTAGTGAGTTCACGGTCAGGGATACCGTAAACTAAAGCCACAAACCGTGAACCGCCAGGCATTTAGAGACATTTTGGTTCTCACTGGACTCAAACCAGTTCACAGACGTAAGACCGTGAACCCAAGTTAATGACCGTGAACTGAGTTAGTAAAGCGGCACGTTTCGGCCCGAGATCATGGTCCCCGCCTTGAGTTCACGGCCGTGAATTGGGATTGTGATGTGAGCCCGACCTAGGTATAAAAGGGGGTTTGAGGTGAAGGAAAGGGAGAGGAGACCTTGAGTGAGAAAACCTTCTTCTTCAGCATTCTAGAGAGAGAAAGTGAAGAACAAGAAGAGAGAAGAAGCTAGGGTTTCATTCTAAGGCAAGGATTTGGGAAAATCTTCCCCAAATGAAGATCTCTCCTACACAAGGAAGGATTCAAGCATCTCCATGATGGTTTTTATTCTTTCTACTTGTGTTTTTCCCTCTCCTAGCATGGAGTAGTTTCCCTTTTCACTTGGGTGTTTGTAAACCCTAACTCCTACCATGTGATTGATTGTATGGAATGATTGTCTATGTGTGGGTGTGTTTTAATACGAATTTGCAAGTATTTTCATGGAAGATTGTGTTGTGTGTTTGCCTATCAATCTATTTGCCATTCTAACCTGGGTAGAGAGAAAACTCCATTTTGTTAAAGAGGCTTGTAAAGCTGGGGTTTCTTAGGCAAATCATGTCTCCTGTCTAGGTTAATGTAGGGCATCCCTCCTTGTTTGTGTTAGCACCTAGGTTGATTGTGTTTTGGTCGTCTGAACTCTGATTTGAGAGTGAAGGTTTGGTGGTCCTTAGTCGATTAGGCCAAGGGAGATACCTTGGTAGCTTAAACCGAATTCCTTGGCCTAGAGACCGAGAGAGTTATGTTCCATCACTAGCTACACTTCACTTTCGGTTCTCAATCACCTCCACCATACATTTTCAGTCATTCCGACAAGTCATGGTAGCGAGTTAGGGGGAGCTACACCCGAGTGAATCCTTCTCATTTAAGAGTTAAAACCAATTACTTTTACAGCCGCTTTAATAGTAGATCGTAGTTTTCAATCAAACAACCAATCGCTAGATAATGTCTCAAACCATTGAAGTAGGGGTACATGGACCGGTCTGGGTTTATATTTAAACATACTTGCCCTATGTTGCACCCAATTAAGGTTTATACATGGGTCTTAATTGGGATTTTTATTGTGATATTCGGGACGAGTCAAGTTTTTGCCGCCGTTGTCGGGGAACAAACAGTCTGTTATTTTGAAAAAATTGTTTGGTGTTAATCTAGCTTTTACTTTTCACTTTTGTGTTTGTGAATCTTGCTTGTGTTAGATGAGTTGTGGTTCTTTTGAGTGTGTGCAGGGAGGTGTATGACCCGGAGTAATCCGACACCTTTGCCATTATAACCTAGGTAGAGAGAAAACTCCCTTTTGTTAAAGAAGATTGTAAAGCTGGGTTTTCTTACGCAAATCATATCTCCTATCTAAGTTAATGTAGGGCATCCCTCCTTGTTTGTGTTAGCACCTAGGTTGATTGTGTTTTGGCTGTCCGAACTGTGATTCGAGAGTCAAGGTTTGGTAGTCCTTAGTCAATTAGGCCAAGAGAGCTACCTTGGTAGCTTAAGCCGGATTCCTTGGCCTAGAGACCCAGAGAGTGATGTTCCATCACTAGCTACACTTCACTTACGGTTCTCAATCACCTCCACCATACATTTTTAGTCATTTCGACAAGTCATGGTAGCGAGTTAGGGGGAGCTAACCCGAGTGAATCCTTCTTATTTAAGAGTCAAAACCAATTACTTTTACAACCGCTTTAATAGTATATCGTAGTTTTCAATCAAACAACCAATCACTATATAATGTCTCAAACAATCGAAGTAAGGGTACAAGGACCGGACCAGGTTGATATTTAAACATACTTGCCCTATATTGCACCCAATTAAGATTTATACTTGGGCCTTAATTGGGAGTTTTATTATGATATTTAAGACGAGTTAGAGGGACCCTCATTCGACTACCTCGGGATTTGAGATATGCGTTTGTCTGGTAGATCCAAGAGAGACCCACGTCTGTTTGGCGGATCAAAGAGAGTTCTGCGTATTCGAAAATCCTTGTACTTAGAAGCCCATCGATACAAGGTGTCTGGAGGATCAAGATAACCACTGAGTAGAGAACACGAAGTTCATGGTCCTTGTCTTGAGGGGAGGATTGTTATGGGACAATCCAAGTATCACGTCGGTAATACAAGGGAAGGGACCCTTGTATACTAGTGTCCACCAAGTCCATTAGTACGAGGCCTTTTGGGGAGGATACCCAAAAGTAAAATCGTGCGGGCTTGACCCAATGCGGACAATATTGTACTAACGGAGCAGCCAAGTTATGACATGTGGTATCAGAGCCTAATTCGGTTCGGGGCGGTTGACGTCAGTTTGGTGGTCCCTCATTCGGTGACCTCGGGATTTGCAATCCGCGTCTGGATTACATCTGGTTTGGAAGATCAAATAGAGTTATGCGCCTGGAAAAAATCCTTATACTGAGAAACCCATCGATACAAGGTGTCTGACGGATCAAGATAATTCCTAAGGAGAGGACACAAAGTTCGTGGTCCTTGTCTTTGGTGGGATCCTCATTCGGTGACCTCGGGATTTGAGATTTGTGTTTGTCTGGTGGATCCAGGAGAGACCCACGTCTATTTGACGGATCAAAGAGAGTTCTGCATCTGGGAAAATCCTTGTACCGAGAAGCCCATCGATACAAGGTGTCTGGCGGATCAAGATAATCACTTAGGAGAGGACACATAGTTTGTGGTCCTTGTCTTGAGGGGATGATTGTTATGTTATAATCCAAGTACCACATCGATAATACAAAGGAAGAGACCCTTTTATATTAGTATTCACCAAGTCCATTAGTACGAGGCCTTTCGGGAAGGAACCCTAAAGTAAAACCGTGCGGACTTGGCCCAAAGCGAACAATATCTTACTAATTGAGCTGTCCAATTTTCAAACAGATGGGTGGCACTATTGTAGCCGCTAAGGTAATATATAAGTGGCCTTAATTGATGTCCAATTCTCCATCCAACCTCTGACAAATTTGAAATTGGATTCGTCTCCAATTTGGTTAGATTGGTTTATTATTTTCCTTGCAGAAGAAGCTTAATGAGAAGGAGCCACTGTGGATAGCACCGGAATCGCGAATTCGGGGAGTGGGGCCCAACCGACCAAGGAACTCTTGTTCTTTGAAAACCTTAATGGGGACGCAGAACATTAGAAACAAGAGAGGTGTAAAAATGTCTTTTAACCGCCTATTTCAGCAGATAGTGGTTAAACCAGTTTTAACGTTATTGAGATGGAAAAAATTAATGGAAACATACGTCTAAAAATTGTTTTCGATGGTAGAAGAGGAGATTTTACGTGTTTTATAGTAAATGGGCATGTTTGAGAAAACTACATAGTTGAAGGGCATATTATCTATATAACTCTTTTTATAATGGTGAAATTTATTAACAGATAAAAAAACAGAGAACAAATAATAAGTATAAAGAAAACCCCTTCACTAGCAGTGCGGATAAACCACGAAAAGGAAGATAATCAAGAACGAAACAGAGTGAAAAATAAACATAACAAAAATTCACAATGAAGATACAAGAGAAGCCAAGGCAAGCCAAAGTACAAAGAACAAGCCACCAACAAAGCAACCGACATAGACAAACAAATGCAACGAAACCCAACACACCACACTCTAACCAAATAAACAACCCCTATTCATAGAGTATGCGGCATTATGGAAAGAAAAGCATAGCCAAAATGTTTCGACAATCAGACAACATCAAGACACACCGAGGGATGCTCTTCATTTGGAGTCTCTCCTTCCTTCAATGACCACAGGATATGGATATGGTAGTGACCACACAACATCTAGCATTACGATGAAATGGGGAATGGAGTGACGAGCAAAGCAGTTAGTAAATCCTTAGTGGTGGTGGCAGAGTTGGTGTAGCCATCACTGTCCTTGTAAAGGACATCCATAATCTGTGCAAAAGCAAGAAATATCGAGAGGACTTTTCTAGGTACACAATTCGGTGGACTGAGCAACTCCCCATTCATTATCTTCCAGTCCTCTTCCACCATGTTACTCAGTGCGTCTACTGCCTTCTGTGTCGACACGCCATATTGTTCCACGTAACATTCAACGGACGAAGGGGCGTGCCCCCTTTCCTGTTCAAACTGCACGCAAAACCGGAATAATAATATGAATATCCATTATTATATATTATCTCAAACAAAATCTTATATATCATTATCTTACGATGTACTTTTTCTTTTCTTTTCCTTTCCTGGAGTGTGTGAAAAGATCGACTAAAACGATGTATTTTAATTCTCATTCATCGGTATAGATTACCTCATGGGTCATGATGTCATCCATGAGACGACATTGGTCCGACGAAGCTACTAACATTTTAGGCTCTGTGAATAACCAGTCAAACAGTTCCTTGGGAGCTAACTCATCACCCATTCCACAGAATACCGAAAACGCTGCCCATTGGTAGATAGTGCTGAGGGATGAAATGTGCCTGTATTCCTCCAAAGTAGGCACATAACCCTTAGCCAGCCAACGTGCTTCTTCCAAGTACAACCTTACAACATTCTTCAGCTGATCATCGAAAGAACAACAAAAAAAACAAAGTATATAGGAATGGTGAATCCCGAATCTGAGAAGAATAAAGTTAATTTTTTTAACTAATTGGTATACGACATGATTTTTACCGCAGGTTTTCCGTATTCCCAACAGTAAGATCGTCCGAATTCATTGGACGTGATCTCTTGAATGTCATCATAGGAATCAATAACCGCGTCGAACAAGATTTTCATATTTGTGTTAAGGTCTTTCGTGCTAGTATCCCATCTGCATATATGCATAATGTAGCCGCGCTAAATAAGCTTGGTCATCTGTATCATGAATTGAGATAACACCACTATTCATGCGCATTTGTTAATAAACGGTATACGATCTACAATTGAACCTCTCTCAGCAAACTCGAGTTATTGGAACCAACTGGTTCTCGACAACATTCGCTTAATGTACCTGTGAATGGCGGCCGTGAACTGCTCGAGCTCATCAAGCTTTCCATACGCGTCGAACGTGTCATCGTACATCGACGCAATTGGAATGAGCTTCATGAAACAGTATCTGGACAGCGAAAATTTGGGCTCCCACAAGCATCCCATCGCCCAGAAGTAGTTCTCTAGCAGTTTGTCCCGCGCGTAGTACAGCTTCCTCGGCAAATCCAACTCGATCCACCACCTAACGACGACGACAACGACGACAACAACGAACATTTGGATTCGGATCAAATGGAACATACATATTATAACATTGACGATCGACGGACGTACTTACTTGGTGAGAACTTTGAGCTCCTTCTGGTACAGATTCTGCAGCAGGTTGAAACCCAACCTGGCCAGCTTCAGGAGCCCTGCATCGTGGCCGTCCATCTGTGGGTAGATGGATACGAAGAAGAGGTGTTCAGCCCTTCTCATGCCTCTGCGTAGGGGCCGGTGCAGGGCGTGCGCGACGCGCTCGGCGAGTGGGGACGCCAGTTCACGCGCCATGGCGGTCAGGTGTTTTTTGGTGAAGTCGAGAGCTTCGTCGAGGATGTTGTCGTCTTGTGTGCGCATATATGCAGCTTCGTACAAGCTTAGCATGCCTTCCGCGTCGCTAGTTATTTCCTCTCTGAATTCAGCCTCTTCAGTTCTGAACTTGCCAAATACGAGCGCTAGAGAGTAGAGACACCCAAAAATATTATTGCAACACATATAATTATTTTGTTTATAAGCTTAGCTTTTTATATATGTCAGAAGAAGATAATGGGATTGGATAATGGAAACTCCTACTTACCACTCGGTACATTATAACCTTGTTGTCTGAGCAGTCTGAAACGAAGCGCGACAAGAAAGATGTCACCGTCAATGTTGCAAGCATTCGGACCGATGTTCTCGTAATCGTGTTGAAGAATTTGTTCGATTTCTTCCTCGAACATGAAATCGATCCCCAATCGTTGAATCGTGTCAATAAGATTCAACCTCTCCAATAAATTGTCTCCGGAAGAAGATAACATCCCCTTCACATTGGACTTCAGCACTTCAATCTCTTCATTCCACGAATTTACCACCTGTGGCAGTAGTATAGTGAGACATGTTAATTAATGAACAACCCATTTATTCTTAATAATTCGAGCTATCGAGATCAGTTGATTCATAATATAGTTTTATTATATCTAGTTTGATTATGAGTTCTCGTGTTTATGTCCTCACAACAACCCTCAATACCAACTGTTGATTTAAGAACACTGTATGATGGCCATGTGTAAACTTTCAACCAATGGTATTGTAACTCGTTTGACCATGAGTTCTCGTATCAAATCCTCGCAACTCTCAATATTAAATGCTAATTTAAGAACATGGCATGTCAGGTCTGTGCAAATTTTAAGCCCATAAATTTATGTCATTTGAGAGATATGTGAAGAAGTTGTATGAGGTCCATATGTATAAGATTTTAATTTATCTCAACAACTAGAGTTTTAGGATGGTTGTATGAGATCCATATGTATAAGATTTTATCTCAACAACTAGAGTCATTAGGATGGATTGATTTAGCAACACGCATTAACTTCATGATAGCCATGTTTATTTTTTTAAATGATGATTTATTAATCAACGAACGAATATGAGCACATATATACACACACTAGTACAAAAGACCAGCTCATCTGCAATCAATATAGTCTGAATACTGTATTATTGTGACTGGGAAAACCCTTATAATATAGTCAAGACTTTGAAATTTGGTCCTTGGGTCACTAACCTAGAGTACATAATTCTAGTATAATTAGATACTACAAGTCCTTGATTTAAAGTGGAGCCGAATTTAATGGGTAAGAATAAATGGTTTTTTTCTTCTAATTTTCTTAATCAAATTTTATCTTCATCGTTATAACTTGACTTTCATAATGTTTTGTACAAATGAAGGGGGTTTGTTGTGATCTACAAAATTATATTCATTTTCAATATATTTCGAGAGAAAAAAATATATCACTCTGTTACCACCTTGGTACCACTTAGTTCACTTTAGATTTAAATCATATTTTTGAATAATTTTGCTCAGAATAAACGAGTTCATCATGATCTATTTTATCTATAAATTTATGGGAGAAAATTCCAGAACCAAAAATACCACCATGGTATAGGGTGGTAACTAGTGGTAGACGATGATGAAATGTGATAAATGACAGTTAGTATATTTCTAATATCATGTATACAATCATTCTATACTATGATATATTCATATCAACATGGTACACTTCCATACAACGTGGTATAATCTTATGTAAATACAAGTAGCTACAACATGGTAAGAACTAGTAATAAAAAATCTCAATTTTCCCCCCAAAATATATCAAATATATGTCATTTTGAAAATTACAATCAATCTAATTTTTCTTTGCAATTTTTTTTTTAAATTTCGGCTTAAAAGAAAAGAGAAATAGTTCGTTAAGTATCTTGGAGGAAAAGTTAGTTGTCTTTTATAAATCAGTAAGTATAGGGTTATGTAAGAATTCCTTACAACAATCTTGACTAAATAGTCTATCAATTAGTAAATCTAAATATTTCAGCCAATGGACTGAGTTCAAACTAGTTATATTCAAAAGAATAATCTAATTAATTATGTAGATGTAGATTCAAGCACTTCTATCAGACTTTAAACCATTGGTGCTTCGAAATACAAATCGAAGTTGTATCAAAACTTTAAAGCTACAAATTGAGGATGTATTGTAAGGAAATTTGTATTTTTATAATTTTTATGTTACAGTACAACTTGAAGTTGTATCATAATATAAAGATACAAATTTAGTTTGTACCGTGAAAGGATTTGTACAAAATGGTATAGGTAAAAACTAAAGTTGTATCATAGTCCATAACGTTAAAAGTACAAACTCTAATTTGTACCATAAAAAGAAGAAGAAGAAAAAAAACTAATACACCAATGCTTTAAAACATCGTAACATTACTCGGTAGATGTACCTCATCAGTTTCGGGGACGTGGGTAAGGAAGAAGTCCCCCCAGACGCTGTCGTGAAACTCCGCTGTTGGGCGACCATGATCAGGAAGAGAGCTTGTAGCTGATGCGGCCATCTTTCTTGAATTAGCAATGCTAAGAGCTAGCTCATCATCTGCAATTAATTATATGCCTCCCCAGCAACGCATATTTATATTCTGCCTAGTTCTTGTTTACTCTGCCGATAGAAACCGACGAGTTCAGAAATAATAATAATATAAGACCTGATCATGAGGTCGCGGTTGGCGGCTTTGGTGCTACATTGATCCTTCAATATATTATCCGACCTGAGGTGTGTCGTTAATTGTCAATTGATCAATCTCACTAGGCGCTAATTAACTACTTGCCCTCCATCCATCGTCACAAGCTTAAATAATTAATATGATAATCAAGAGGCAACTGGCAAGTGGCAAGTGGGGAGATGATGGTTGTCTTAATGACATCAGTTTAGGACGTGGACTGGCCCAGCTTTGTGCTTATCGGAAACACAGGCTAGCTGACGAACAGCGAGTGCGACGAAGAATGGGGTATTGGGTTGTTTCGCTGAGTTTTATGGCATGTTCGGAGGCTGAGATTCTCCAAATAGATGTATTCAATCAATTTTGTTAGAGATAGATTAGGAATAATCTTCTATTTTCTTGTCCTTCTAGTATAGTTTTCGTTTTCTTTTAGTATTATAATTATTGTAGTTCTCTTATTGTCCAAATCTTGTAGTCTATAAAAACCCTTTTGTGATTTTATAATAATAATAATATAAGTTACATCTTATTATTCATAAAACTCATATATGGTATCAAAACTTCTAACTTAACAGCCTTGGTCCAGGAACCTAAACGCTTTTTTTTTTCTTGTCTGGCCATGACTCCGAACTCACCTGGTTCGCTCCTACTTTGAGCAGATTCAACCCCTGCATCTCTCAATTGCTCTTTCAAGTTTTTCTGACATGTTGCCTTCTCGATGCTTTATTAGATTATTAGTATTGTTCCCTTTTTCTTTAGTTTGTTAGGCTTTTGTCTCGTTCAAATAAAATAAAAAAATCCCATCCTAATTATGTCTCTGCCAGCGACCCCAACCATAACACTTCAAGCCTCCTGTTGTCGTTCCCCCAAATCAGTCTTTCATCGCTATGATCATAGCTATTTTCCATATTTCGCCGACTCTGCTAATTTTTGTGTCATGTAGATCGACTATTGGCGCCTTACTTCGGAGATGAAGCTCCAGCTTTTACAACTGGTATCTTGTGTGTCTTATTTCAGCTATTTCAAGATCAAGAGCTTTTATGGCATGGAGTCCACAGTCAATCTCCTGCCATCTCTCCTTTGTGTGTATGGAACAAAGGAAGTTTCTCGGACCACAGTCATTCGGATGAATTCTTCGTGTCCTACACCAGTTTACGTTTATTGGTACCGTTAAAACCAATTAATTCATCTCGATCCTGGTCAACTTTTGATGGCGAGTGAGTTTCGTTGCAACATATGCATTGCAAGTTTGATGATTTATTCTCCTCCAAGATGACGGTTAGTTGGCTTCACTCTTCAAGCACGAGAGTTTGACGAGTTTGCATCACATTCTACACCGTCACATTGCGGAAGCGTGTTCTTCAAGATTTGTGTATTTTGGTCAAGATTGATGTTGTTCTTCGCACCATCATCTTGTGGGGGCGTGTTAGATATAGATTATGAATAATCTTCTATTTCCTTGTCCTTCTAGTATAGTTCTTAGTATTTCCGTGTCATTCTAGTATTACAATTATTGTGGTTCTCTTACTTATTGTCCAAGTTTTGTAGTCTATATAAACCCCTTTGTGATTTCATAATAATATAAGTTACATGTTACTATTCATAAAACTCCTATAAATTTGTGTATTGTCATTTGATGTATTGATTCAATGCATGTATTAAGAAAATACTTTGTTTGGGGGACAATGATTGAGCAAAAAATGTGCTTGACAATCCATTGTTAACAAACTCACCTTTTTGTAGAGATTGACAATCATTCATTTTGAGTGATTATAGGTGGGCCCAGAAAAATGGTAATACATGCATGATCTAACTCAAATTGAACCAAAAAAATGACTTAATCTTACCATTACATGTATTGGTTAAATACCTCATTTGAAATCCCAACCTCCAAACATCCCCTATAGTACTACACAGTGGCGGATACATGCATGTTTAGGGGTATCCCGAGACACCCCTAAAATTTGGAAACACAATTATTCAACCTCCGATAGTAGTTTGTGCATGAGCAAAAAAATGTTTAAGTGGTTGTGGGACACACTTAATATTTGGGAAAATGATTATCTAACCTTCCGTAGTAGTTTGCTTATTGGTATAAATAATATTTAAGTAGTAGTCTATGTGATTTAAACTTGGGAACACTGTCACTATCAGTAAACATATTTTCAATTACACTAAAACTCATTTGTTATTGTGTTTAAGACCCAAATATAATAGTAAAATGTTATTCTTATCCCAAATTATTTTCAAAACCTACCGATTAAAACCAATTACGGGATACCCTTGTTTAATATGATATGCCGAGAGATATTTGTTGAGCAGTATAGACACCGAATGTATTTTACCATTTTACGAAACACGTTTGAACTTTTAATAGTTAGATATTTTCATATTTAATAATTATTTAATTTAATTATAATATTTAGTTTAATTGTTTAGAGAGGATACCCCTATGTAGAGTTCCTTGATCCGCCACTGGTACTACATGTGGCTGATGTCCATTTTTTCTAAAGAAAGATGAATTATTAGGCTAATTTACTTAAAAATATATATCAAAATGTTTACTATGCACCAATATTGTTTCGGGGTTTTGGGTACGGTGCATGGCCCTTGGTTATGCACAAGTTCATAATTAGATTTGGCCTCTTGATTTTAAATGGGATAGGATGTAAGAGGTGAGATTTTTTTTTTTTTTTTTTTGTTGATATAGTCCAACTCACCTAAAATACTTCAAAGCCAATTTAAAATAAAGATAAACGAACAC